GAGATTTTGAAAGTGTTAGCTGTCCTCCAGGTTCCTCTGCAGTGTCTTCTGAGCTCTTGATGCTTTTAGAGGGTCATTGTTAAAGGTTTCTAATTCTCTTCTTTTCTCTAGTATTCTAAACTTGAAAAGTGCCCATTATAAGTCCAGAAAAATGTGTTTAATAATATTGAAAAAAGCTAGTGCAAAAAATGATTATAAATATGACCTAACAGGGTATTTTGTTTTTATTTTTTACTGTAGCAGGACTAGGATGTTTTTATAATCATTTCTGGTGTTTGCCCAATATTTTGTAAATAGGGGTTGAATGCATACTTTTGTTCAGAGAGCTTACTGAGTTCACCATAGCAGGGATCTTGTATTATTATGAAGCTAAAACTGGACCCAAATTCTTTTCATTAGGTAGACTAAATCACTAAGGATTTGCTCTTGGAGCTGAGGAAACAGTTGTTAACTTCATGTGCTGGTTACTATGTTTCAATACAGTGTCTTTTGAGCAAATACTTTATTTTACATTAAATTGATGTATGGCCTTATGATATCTAAATTTTGACAATCCTGTCTGATTTGCAAATTCATTTTTTTCTTCTTCATCCTTACTATCAAAAGATATTTTCTTTGAAGATTGTATTCATTTGTGTATTTGAAAAGTAGAGTTACAGAGAGAAAAATAGACAACTTTCATTCCCTGATTTACTTCCCAGATTGTCGCAGTAGCCAGTGCCGAGAGAGATCTTCCGTCCCCTAAGTTTATTCCCCAGCTAGTCGCGACAGCCAGTGCTAGGCCAGTTCTGAAGCCAGGAGCTTCCTCTGGATCTCAATATGGATGTAAGGGCCCAAGCACCTGGGCTGTCCTCCACTGCCTTGCTAGGCTCACCAGAAGGGAGCTAAATCAGAATTGGATCAACTGGGACTGAAACAAGCAAACATACGGGATGATGGTACTGCAGGCAGCAGCTTTATTTACAACTCCATGGTACCTGCCAGCCAACCAAGAGAGATTTGAAACCAAGATTTGCCATTAGATCCAGAAATCCTGAATTACCACCAACTTTGAGGAAACTTGCTTTAGGAAAACTGGCGCCAATTCTCTGCATTATGACAGGTCACTGATCATCTTCCTTCTGATAAAGGATGTAAGGCTGATAGAGCTTCAAAGCGATTTTATACCCCATGGGTACACAAGTAACATTAGTTGCTAGAAGCAGTTTGCTGGGAAGTCATCTGAAAGAACTAGTTCAGCTTGGATTTAGTTTAGGATAAAGGAAATCTCAAAAACCACAGAGTGAAAGGGTAGCCTGTCACAAAACCATGGTTTCACAAGACCATCGTGCAGGGTCTCCACAAGTCAGGAATGGGTCTGGGGGTCCCTTTCGTGGGGGCTGGGACTCGAGGTGTGACGTCCATACCAAGAACAATATGGGACACGGGATGCAGAAGTGAGATGAATCAGTGCACACTTTATTGAATTTTTCTGGAGAACTTACACCAGATTTTTGCAAAGCAAGTGGGCTGGTAAAAGTTACAAGTTAACTAAACAATAACATACAAGCTACTCCAATGATAGATGACAAGGGATTTGGGGAACAATCACCAAGTTGAATAAATAAACATGATAAGTAAACATGGAGAAGTAACAGCCTGGATACGTAAACATGAGTTACAGGAATCAACACTCGTAAACAAACAGATCTAACTACAAATGGAATCTAACAGAACTTTGTGCTCAGAACTGTTCATGGCCACAATCGCTAAAGGAAGAGGAAGATGATAATGAAGGCATCTCACACCTCCCCAGGCGTGCTTTGTCAACAAAGTGACCCGAAATCTCAGCAGAGCCTACCTTCTGCAGAATTCTCAGTCTCCCAGGAATGTGTGATATTTGGGGTCCCTTGGGCATTTGGTGTTCTGGTTCAGGGGCCAGATCTCCACAATTAATAAATTTCCACAAATGGGAAACCCAGGTGTTTGGGTGTTTTTGTTTTTTGTTTTGTTTTTTAGGATAGTTTGTATTTCACATTGCATTTTATTTCAATGATGATTAATTCATTAGAGGGTTTGAGACGTCCAACCTCATCCTCGCATTTGGGTCTTATTACCTTTAGTTTCCTTTTATCCTGAGCAAACACCTTGCCATTTGTTCCTGCTGGTATCGTTCCATATCTGAGTGGCATCATTTTAAAACCTAGTAATGTGCTCCTTGTGGCATGGCAGCTAGAGGCATGGAAATTTAAACAAACAACATTTGTTTTTTGGTAGAGTTAAACTGGCTTTCAGAGAACACAACCTTACTTATGGGATTAGATCAAAGTAGATCCTGCAATTTTTTTCCTGAAAATAATGAAAATTTTCTCAGGATAAACACATACCATGGAAATGTGAAAGTTGTTTTTTTTTCTATGCAAACGAGCAAAAATTTCCAAGTTTTTATTAGGAAGATTGTTGTTAGGTGCTGGTCTTCTAGGGTGGGGGTAAAAATCTGATTTCATCTTTGACAAGGTTCGAGTTCTATATGGTGCAAAGACAAACACAAGGGACTTTGTCCTACCTTGTGTGTGTAAAAGTGAGCTGCAACATAATCAAATGAGGACTTGTAAACGACAAAATTCTTTACTAACTTTTTCTGATAAGTGTTTTCTGAAAGTTGGAGAATGATTTGACAGACCCTTTTTATGTGTTTATCTGGCAAGCGTTTGTTTATTACGTGAGACATGCTATTTCAAGGTGTCTATTGTCAGATGTTTAATATAGTGAATCAGCATGTGTATTATCACATAACCATGTTTTTGAGAACACTTAACATCTAACACGTAGCATTTTGCAAAACTACAATATTATAATTAACTGTAATTGATGCTATGCAACTTCTTTTATCTAACTGTAGAATATGTATCCTATTGCTAACATCTCTTTAAGCTGTCTGCCCCTACGCGCAGAGGCTACTCTAGTTCCATGAGCTGAACTTTAAGATTCCACACGTGAAGGAGATCATGTGGAATGTGTCTTCCTTTGCCAAATTTTATTTCACTGAAAATAATGTCCTCCAGTTGCAAATAATGGAATTTGATTCTTTCTGTAGCAGAATAATGTGCCACCGTGCGTATCTCCCACACTTCATTTGCCTTCTCATTCGTTAATAGACTCTGAAGTTGATTCCACATCTTGACTAGTGTGAGAGTGTAGATGTCTCCTTGGCACGGTAATGGATTTTGTGAGAATTCTGCTTCTGATTTGTGTGAGGAGTCTCAGTGCTGCTTCCCACAGTGGATGTGTACTGATTTACATTCCCGCCAATGGTGTGCAAGGTTTCCCTTGGCTCTGCATCCTCTTGCCATCTCTTTTCTGTTTGAAAATAGTTGTAGTTCTTGGAAAAGATTTCTTTTTATTCATTTGAAGGGTAGAATTACAAAAAGAGAGAGTTCTTCTGTCTTTTAGCCCACTTCCCAGTGGCCGTAATGGCTGAAGCCAGAAGCCAGGAGATCTTCCATGTCTCTGCTGTAGGTGCAGGGGCCCAAGTCATTGAGCTGTCTTCCACTGCTTTCCCAAGCACATCAGCAGGAAGCTGGATTGCAAGTGGAGCATTTGTGCCTTGAACAAATACCCTGGCACTGTAGGAGCTCTCTGTCCCTCGAAAATAATTATTCTAACCAGAGAAAGGTGACAGCTCATGTAGTTTTGATTTGCATCTCCTGATGAATATTTTTCATATACTTGTTAGCCATTATTATGATTTCTTTTGAGAGATTTTCTTCAGATATTATGTCCATTTTTAAGCAAATTATTTATTAATCTTTATTGTGTTGTTTGAATTCCTTGTATATTTTGGATGTTAATTCCCTCTCTCGTGTACAGTTTACAGTATTTTCTATAGGATGTTTCTTTGTTGATTGTTTTTGCAAAAGCTCTTTATCTTGACATAATCCCATTTTGCTTTTATTGCCTGTGTGTTTTGAAATTTTATTCAAAAATCGTTCCCTAAACCAATGTCATGAAGCTTTTTCGCTGTGTTTTCTTCTAGTAGCAGTTTTTAGTCTCTCAGTTCAATCTTGAGTCCATTTTTATTTTGAGTTTATATGTGGTAAGAGATATGAAACTAAATTTTATTCTTCTGCATTTGTATTTCCAGACAAATTCTATTTATTGGTTTCATATATCAATTAAAAAAAACCCAGCACTTTATTCTTCATCCTCTGGTTTGTAAGAATTTAAAGAGAAGATAATGTGTAATATAATCTGGTGGATCCAGCTCTCCAGCCTCTTCTTCTATCCTTGTTTTCAAGATGTCTCCCATTTTAGAGACTATTGAAGTCCTGTAGATTTTTTTTTTTGTCTTTCCACTCGATTCTTACCTCCCTGAAATTTAGTTTTAATGTATGTAAATGATCAAGACTCACAGGAAATGCTTGGCTAACTGATTTGCTCATTTTTAGCCCAGCCATTTACAGCCAGCTGTCATGTTTGAATTTCTCATTTTAGGGGAAGATTTCACTATCTTGAAATGTTAGGAACCATCACCTTCTTTATTAGCTCTTTTTCATTTGAACAGGTTTGCCAACATTGGTCTACATGAAGAATATAGTCTGAAAGATACTGCTATTATTTTCTTCCAGGTAAACTTTACAGGGAAAAAAAAAATATTTTTGTTATTCCAACCATTCTTTTAGACTTCATCTAAGCTGGCTTAAAGCTCCAGAAGAGCTTTGTGTGTTTAAATAGTCAAGGCTTTGTTATTTGCCCTGACATGGAAAACGGCTTTACACTCTGTTGCGGACAGCAGTTCCATGTCTTTGTCTTGCTTCACTAACCTGCTGCTTTACTCTTAATCTGGCTCTTCTTCAGCCTCCCTTCTTCCTTTGTCTGAATCTGTCCTCTGGGAGGATATCTTACTGATCTAGATTTGCTTCTCAGAAGCATCTTGAAGAAGCAAGTAGCCCTTGTGCTGACTAGGCTCTTCCTGGGTTCACTAACTAGTCTACTTCACCTGGTCTTCCATCGTTTTCCAGGACAGTCTCCGTAAGAAGGATGACAGGATTGAAGAACTGGAAGAAGCACTAAGAGAAAGTGTACAGATAACCGCAGAGCGTGAAATGGTGCTAGCACAAGAGGAATCAGCCAGGACCAATGCTGAAAAACAGGTCTGCAATTTTATACAGTTACTAGCAGTGCTGCTGGTTAAACAAAAGGTAAACCCCAACCAGTATAGTTTAGGTAATCCATATGCTCTGTTTGCTTATCGGATTTTAACAACAGTTCATCACATGTAAGTATTTAGAACTAAATAAGAATTGAAATAGAGTTGTACAAGAATTGACTTGTGTTCATGTGGAGGTCTGTGGAGCAACAGTTTAACAGTTGGATTCATGTATGTTCATATAGAGTGTGCTTACGCCTGATGAGATGAAATGGGAAACATTGGGAAAACCTTGGCTTGTCAACTAAATAAGAAAACACGAATATTTCTGACCCAATGATGTCAATTTCCATAGCCCAGCTCAAAAGAGCAGTAAAGATTGTAACAAAATAATGAAGAGCATAGGTGGAGGGCATAGCTGTCAGGGCACTCGCGTCCTTCATTAACCATCTCGGCCTTGCGATGTCCAGTTGCCGTGGTTCACTAATGCTGTCTGTGGCTTTGTTTTATGTATTTGCTACAGCATTTTTGGTCAATGCACAGATCATAGATAATGTTCGATTGTTTATTACAGAAATGTAAGCTATTATGAAGCACATTATTGATAAGTATCTGGAAAATACGATTTTAATATTCCAGGGATCTGAAAAGATCTGACAGTTAAGCTTGCAGTCATTCTCTGCCATTGTATGGTCTATTCAGTATTTAATTCAAGTTCTGCCAAGAAGAGCCTACCAAGTTTCATTGTAGACTCTTGCACTAATGTCAAGGAGTTTGAATTTCCTTTGTTATGGTGACTGGTTATGAAATCAGTCACTTGACAGACCCTGAAGTGAGACTGCTGGAAATACGTCATGTCTGCCCTCATGGTGACAGCTGGCTACAAAACAAACCCCACCAGAGCCATTCTACAATTGACAAGGGACTTCAAAGGGCAACAGGGCTGCCACTTCAAAGAGAAGTTCTGCCATCTCTGGCTTGTTGAAAGAAGTTGTTAAAGGCCTGTACCCTGCTGTAGCACAAATTTCCATGTTTAAACTTCTTTTGATCTTAGGAAGATACGTAAAAAGGTCGTAAGATAGAGGAATGATGTGTTGTAGTCTGCAGTGCTGGCAACCCAATATTATAGTATATTTCTGTCTATTAATGGAAATTACTCAGATATGTATAAATAAATAAATAAATAAATAAATAAATAAATAAATAAATATGTGTAAAGCAAGTCTAGAGCTTAGTTTCTCAGAAAATGATTGGTCAGAAAAGTGTTGAAACTATAGTATTGTTCTAAAAACCATTAAAATATGTGCAGTAAGTAGGATGGTGAATAAGTGATCATTCTTAGTATTTTTTTGTATTTATCCTTGCAGTTTTTATCCCATTGATTAGAATTACATACTGAATGTTGATAGTAAGGATAATTGAATATCCAAATCTGAAATCTTAAGGCTAATTTGCATTGTTCAGTCATATCTCTCCCTTTAGTAACTGCATATCTACAACGTGCAGCTACCTTGTACTCTAAAACTGCACTCACCCAAATTTTTCTGCACACAGCTTTGAAATAATCATCATGTCTTACTATTAAACAAAGAACTCAGTGTTTTAGTAAGACTTCTTTAATGCAGGATCGAAATACTAACCAACGTCTGGAATAATAAGCAGACCTAAGCATGCATTTTTCTTAGGTAGACTACTGGTAGCCTCACAGGACCATCCCTTTGATGGGAATCGTGCTTAGTATACTTGAAAGAGAAAACAGGAAATATTATAAATAATGTGGTAGTGGTGGTATGGAGAGTTTGTGTATTATGTGAAGTAGGATTACGTGTTAGTTGCAGTTTAAAATCCTTACAAGTCACTGGCCTGGCCTTATCTTAGTAATGTGTTCTCTCCCTCATCCTGTGTGTTACAGGAGGTTACAGCTAACCTCCCATAGATGCTTCTGCTTCCTATCTCCTGCTTATTTCTTAAGGCCTTTCTCGCTACCTAAAATTAATAAATTGGCCTAGCAAGAACTCTTGCTACAGTAGCTTCCTCTATGTTTTACCAGATGGGGTCAGTAGATAACTACTAAGGAAATTTTTAAACTGAACTTAAGCCCCTGGGAGAGAGGGGAGCACATGAGATTATATGACCAAAACAAACAGGAATTTCTTTTCACTTCTAGAAACAGGAGTAGTTTGTACCAGTAGTTCTTAAAATAATGTATCTTGATTGACTTTTTTTTTTTAATTGTGTCTTTCCTTTGAAAATTTTTGGGTAAATACATGAATGTGGTTATCTTGAAAGTTTGGGAAACACCTCTATCTATAAATTTAGACTTTAGTTAACACTTTTATTCAACAAAAGATCGTATAACTGTTATCAAAGTTATGGCCCCGTAGAAAAATTAACTTCCTTGGAAACAAAATAAAGCTTTATTGTGTCTCCAAATCAAATCAATGGCGGAAGGCTATTGGTTTTCAAAGTAGACATGTTTTTACACATCTGTCTAAACTACATAACGGCTACAGCACGAGGAAGCACGTTTGACGTCTGTGTGGCAGATCTATAACAGATGATTTATAGTTCAATTGTAGTTAGTCCTCAGGGTGTTTGGCTCTTATTTTGTTCTCTCCTGCTGGAAAGTTGATAAGCCAAGTTATTGACGACAGAGGGGGTAATCCTAGATATGGCTGGAGGTGAAGCCACGAGAGCCATATGGCATCCCACAGTTCTCTATGTGCAGTTTGTGTTCTTGGCTGCACCTTCCTGGATGTTTGCAATGAGAGATGCTCTCCTAGATAAACGTACACAGTAGGATTCATCCTACTCCAGAAACTGTGTGTGTATGGTTTGGCATACTCTTGAGCTCTGTTTCACAATAGGTTGTCCCTTCCTTATTCGCTTCTTCTCCCCCACCACTTTAATAAATAAATAAAGGGGCAGTGAGTGTCGTCGCAGAGCACATCAGATCGGAGGAAAAGTGATGTGAATTCCATTCCTTGTTGATTTATTAGCTGTCATTCAGAGTGCATTTGATAATCTGGACAAGCCCCCGTAGCGCCATCTAAATGGAGAACCTGACTCCAGGCACTGACTCACTACCTCACACAGAGATAACCAGCCTGCTTATGACCAGTACGACCTGGGTGAGTGTGTGAGTGTGTGCATCCGTGTGTATACACACCATCTCCATGCTCACAGGCCGCTTAAGAGTTTCCTCCTGCTGTGGGATGTTGCTCTAGGTCTCCCTGCGCTAAATCCCTTCTTTTTGCCTAATAGTAAATTTCTACTAGAGTCAAATAACTGTCATTTCATCTGTCAACATTTTGTTTCAAAGCACGGTCCAAGAGTATTGAAATGATGCATTTTCTCAGCAAAATGTGTCTTTAATTAATGACATCATTTTTCTTTACATCATGGTAGTTTGGTTTTTCAGTGTTGCACACGAGAAAGATCAAAATTTACAGTAAAGTGCCAGTAAATATTTATTTTTCCTGTTGAAATTTTAAGGACATAGAAACAATTTCCTAGAATCATTTCACTGGGCCTTAGGAGGAGGCCTCTTCCCTGACCACACTGTTCTCTAGCTTTCGACTACTAAGGAAATCAGTGTTTTCCATAATAAAATTCACTTAAGATTTTCTCCATTTAAAATAACTAAATCATTTTAACTAAGAAGGAAATTTCTTTCCAAGACCTAGGTGCTCTATTTAATCATTCAGCAATTATTTTGTTCCCTCTTTGTTTTTAAAGATTTATTTTCACTTATTTGAAATGCAGAATTAAGCGGGAGAAATCTTGCATCTGCTGATTTACTCCTCCAGGTTGCTGGAATGGCCAGGGCTTGTCCAGGCCAAAGCCAGGAGCTCAGGACTTCATTCAGGTCTCCCATTTGGGTGACAAGGGACCAGACAGTGGAGCCTTTCTTTCTTTGTTCCCAGGTGGTTGAGCAGGGAGCTGGTTCAGGAGTGGGACAACAGGGACCTGGACTCGTGCCCACAATGCCTTCTCTCAAACTTGCAGGGAAAGTAGGGAAAAATTTTTTTTGAAGAAGAAGAAAATTTAGCAGATATTGAAGTTCAAAAGAAAGGGTTGTCTTTACACCTCTATTTGTATTACTTTTCCTGAGTTACTTATTTATCACTAACCCTGCTGACCTCCTAACCCTCTCTGATCCAGTAGAAGACAGTGTGATGTAATAGTTGCCACAGCCACTTTCTGACTGCCACTGGAGAAATTAAATTTGATCTTGTCTCTTGAATTATGTCCCTCCTTCCTGAGAGGCAAAAGAGCCTGACACCCATCTAGTATGCGGGCCCTGGGACCCAGACCAGAAAACCCAGGCCCTACCGGATTCTCCACCCTGGGGTTCATGGAACCAACACCCACCTAGAAAGTGGGCTCAGGATCTGGGCCAGGTGACCCACACCCCACAAGTTCCCCTGTCCCCAGAGCTCAGGAACCCCACCCCTACCTCACATGTGGGCCCCATGACCTGAAATAATCTACCCAAGCCCTATCAGATCCTCTGTCCCTGGGATTCCACTTGGCCCAAGCTGGCATGACTTGCCTCACCTGAGCTTTCCAGAGTCTTATTGGGTTGCCAGGCCTGGTCTAGCCTGCCCCCTGTTCCAGCTCCTGCTGGTGGGTGCTGCACCCTATCCCATCCCACCTGATTGTTGTCCTAATCCTAATGTAAACTAGCTGGTATCAAGGCCCGATTTGGCTCCTCCTGCCCCCTGTCCTGGTTCTCAGATCTGCCAGTGGGTGTTATGAGCTGGCCCAGACTGGTCTGTCCCCAGACCTGACCCACATGTATGCCAACAGGTACTGAACCTGGCATTGTCTGGGCTGCTCCTTGGCCTTGCTTCTTGTGCTCACCTGCAGGGAATGCGTCCTGAGGAAAGAAGTTTCCCAAGCTCCTCCCTCGAGTGTCCTCCCGGTGGTAGTTCTCACATAGACATGGGTCCTTGGCCCAGGTTGACTTTGTCCACCTCCTGTCCTTGCAGGAACAGTGGC